TTTTTTTTCGAGGGAAAAGGGGACTTTATTTCTTAAGGAGGAGAGTCTGCCATACACAGGAGTACAATTTCATTTGTCCCCGATCCAAACCATACCACGGATCACGCTCCCTACAACAATCCGATGAGCAGCCCTAACCATATTTTTTTTGTCATGTATTATTATTGTTGTTGTTATAGAATATATATGAGCTCTTTTTCGTCGCGTGGGACCCACTCATCAATGGGTTGCCATCTAGTTTCTTTTTCCTACACTCCATCGAGAATGCCAATTTTATTTTATTTTTTGGATCGGAGGAATATAACGTGCACGGAACGGAACGAACACGGAACACGTGCGCTCGCGATTCAATTTTGTTTTTTTTATTATTACGCTGGAAACATTAGCGAGCGAGCGAAGAGCACGCGCGGAGCGGTTCGGTTCGGTTTGGTTTAGTTTTGCCGAAGATAGCCAGCATGTTCGCTCGCTATTGTTTCGCGGAACGGCATGGCTCGTTTTGCTGCTTTGGCCGCATGACGTCAGCCAGGCATGTGCAAGACTGCAATCACGCGATGAGGCCAACAGGCAGGATGCTACGGGGGAACGGCACCACCACGAGGGACGGCTTCGGCATCCACAAGCTCGACCTCGCACGACCTCGCACACCGGCATCCACAAGCACCACCATCTTCTGCACGACGTCGCACACCGCCTTTTCCTCCGGGTGACTCATACAACCCTCGGCGAGCGCGTGCAATTCGCCGCCGTCGGCAGCAGCATCGTCGCCATAGGTAACACAACGCATATCAGCCCTGTGCTAGATGATACTTACATACCTAGCGAGATAGGCGGCGTCCTCATTTACGACACCAAGGCGGCAGCGATCACCGTCGCGTCTCACCTCCCAGACAGCCTAACGGATGGATGGCGTCGGCTACAAAGCAGCACTGGCCGTCGGGGACAGGTTGTACATGCTCGACTCCGTGGGTCACTGGAAAGGCGGTGGGTTGCACTGCCTCACTACAGATCCGTGTTCGTGTGGGCACGAGTTCTGGCGTTGGCGGCGATTGTCCCGTTCCTCGCGCTGGTGCTGGTCCTTCTGGAGCGACTACGAGTATGATGATCTTCCCCGTGCAGCCGTTCTTGGCCAAACACATCACGGCATATGCGTCCCACGAACGCTACGAGATTCTGGTGTCTGTGAAGCCCACGAAGACGACCGTCACGGGTGCTATCTTCACTTTCAGCAGGATGAGAAGCAGGTGGACACAGCGCCGCAACTGGCACCTGCCGATTGTGGGCCAAGCACACTATGATGGCCATCTGGGCGCGTGGGTCGGCCTCCACGCCGTCAGTGTTGGCGAGGATATGGATGCTCCTCCGGTGGCAGACGGGCACCTCTGCGCCGGCAATGTCATGTCGCACCCCAAGGAGTGGAAAGCCCGTAAGGAGAAGCTGTTTCGCTTCGACGAGGACGCCGCGGCTGGCTGGAGCCACGTCCAGGCCAAGCTCGTGCCCATGGTGTCGGGCAAAGGCTGCACTCAATACTGCCTCATGGAGCACCTGCGACCCAAGGGGAACGACGAGGGGTGCTTGAGCGAGGGCGACGAGTGGCTGCTGCGGCTTACCAGCTTCCATGTCGAGCATGGGGATGACGGTGAGCCCGTGGCCATGGCTCATCGGCCGGCTCGCTCTTACAAAGTGTCTAGGTACAATAAGGATTTTGTTGCTCAAGTGTTCTGGATGTAATCTGGATAGTCGCAGAAGCTTGTTCAATTTATATATTACTGGAGAATCGAGGTCTTGATCAAAATTTAGGATCTGAAATTTCAATGTTTTTCTTTTTTGCATTTCTTCAAATTTTTCTTCCTTGTAATTCTTGGAGACTTGGAGATGCAGTTGGGGTAATATATTCAATGCCAAATATTACCATTTTCAGTTCGAGTAATATGTTCATTGCCAAATATCACCATTTTTAGTCAATATAAATTTTTCTACCTTTGGGCCGATTTTCCATGTGGTGATTGGCACGCCCAAAATGATTTCTAGGAGAGGAAAATGACAATCCTCGCACAAAATTAGCTGGAGAAAAGATCTATAGAATAGTCCAAAGTCACTGGCGGAGTTAACGGTGGTTCTGTTTTTCACTTGGAAAGATGTCCATGCCAATTGACTCCAACAGAGATGGAGCTGTTGGTGTACAACGTGCAGAAGCACAATTCACCGCCGTGGTACCAGCAGCACTGGCAGTCACACACGAAGGGAAACTCCGTGTTGGCGTTGTGGAGATTAGTGGGAGGAGCCAAGGGACCGTAGTCGCCAGTATCAATACAAATGGTACTAGTACGTTCACCTACATGGAGACCATGGAACCTCTCAGTGTTCACATGTGTTGGTGATGCTCTCACCTTCTCAGGGATGAGATTGTTCGAAGGAAAGAAAAGGCGACTCCTCGCCACCACCAGGAGTCTCCCTCTGTCGCTGCCCTCCGTCGGTGACCTTGGTCGTTGGTGGTGAGTGGGGTCACCGGATCCATGCCGAGGATCGGTTTTAGACTCCAGTAGTTTAGAATTTTAGACTGTTCATTGTCTTGACTTTAGCGGCGGCAATGACGGGCTGAATGAAGATTCTTCATATCCTACTCTGATGAGGCGAACAGTCATAGGATTGAGGCAGGTTTAGAAATTAGTCTGTTCAAGTAAGGATGGCATGGCGGCAGCGACATCCTTGTTGTGGACCTGTGTCCTCAAGCTCTGCCATTGCGATGGTGTTTGCTCCAGCGCCGGTGCAGAGCTTGGGAGGTTGTCCGGGAGCAGATCCAGATTATTGTCTGCATCAACGACATCTAGAAGATGATAGATCGTGTGTTGGGTTCGTGGTTCGTGGGCGACAAATATTGTTTTCTCCTCCGACATGTTAGTCATGTGGAGGTGTCAGATCTAAGGTTCGATGACATGTCCGGGGTGATACCCCGGTCTGATTCGTTCAATGGTAATGGTTTTGTCTTTGGCGAGCCACTTTGGAGTTCCGCAAAGCTGCATATCAGCAATGGAGCCGCGTTTAGCTCAGGTGTGGAGGTGAGGAATTTTCTATTGGTCTGTTACGAATTAAAACCGATATTTCTGGAAATTTCTGCTTGTTTCATCGGTGCCCGAAACATTCCATAATAAATGAAATTTAGCACAGCTCGATCTAGTAATGACATTTTTGTTTTGACAAACCTATCTAGTAATGACATGGTAAAATTATCTCGTGGAAAAAAAATGACATGGTAAAATTCTGGTGGCAAATATGCACGTACCCAAAATCTATAGTCACGCAAGTTCTAGCACAATCTAACGAACGAGAAGGGCTGGGATTGATCCTCATAGTCATAGGTCGGTATTCCTAAACCCTAGCCGGGCCCCTTCCGCGTAAAATGTGGGCGTGGGGATCGTTTCTTCCTCGGTCGACCTCACCCCTCCTCCATACCCGCCTCCGGCCTGGGCGCCGCCATGCCAGCCAGCTGACCGCCGTTCTTGGCAACAGCAACCTGATCGGCTCGCGAGGATACGCCGGCAACTCTGATGGCGATTCGCAATCGCGCGATGAGGCCAAGCGGCAGGACGCTACGGGGAAGCGGCACCTATACGTGGTGCTCGACGACCACGAGGACGGCTTCGGCATCCACAAGCTCGATCCCGGCGAGCACCACGAACTTCTGCACGACGTCGCGCACCACCTCCCCGAGCCGCCGCTCCTCTGGGTGGCGCGTACAACCCTCGGTGAGGGCGTGCAATTCGCCGCCATGGGCAGCAGCATCGTCGCTATCGGTACCGATACCCCTATCAGCCCCGTGCTGGATGGTCGTTGGCTAGCTGACGATATCGGCGGCGTCCTCATCTACGATACCAAGACGGCGGTCACCACCGTCGCGCCTCACCTCCCAAGGGGCCTCCAGTACGGGTATAAAGCAGCAATGGCCGTCGGAGAAAGGTTGTACATGCTGGACTCCAAGCCGCGGTGGGACTGGCACAAGCGTGAACAGAACGGCACCGGCAGCTTGCACTGCCTGACTACAGATCCGGATTTTGAAGGCACTGCCGGAGACGAGTTCTGGGATTGGCGTGCATTGTCCCCTTCCTCCCATTGGTACTGGAGCAGGTATCATTATCCTCCGGCGACCCCGTTCTCGACGGAATACATCACGGCATGGGCGGCCCATGCACAGTACGAGATGGTGGTGTCTGTGAGGCCGACGAATACGAGCATGATGGGTGCTATCTTCTCTTTCAGCAGGAGGGAAAACCGGTGGACAAAGCGCCGCGAGAGCCACCTGCCGGTCGTAGGCCAAGCCCACTACGATGCCCATCTGGGCGCATGGGTCGGCCTCCACGCCGTCAGTGTTGATGATGGGGATATGTATGGTCCTCTCGTTGCGGACGGGCACCTCTGCGCCGGCAATGTCATGTCTGCCCCGGAGAAGTGGACCGTCGGTAAGAAGAAGCTGTTTCGCTTTGACGAGGAGACTGCCGCTGGCTGGTACCACGTCGACGCTAAGATCGTACCCATGCCACTGTTTTGGTTACCGGTCGAAATTTCAAGATTTCCCATGGTTACCGCGTATTTCCGTGCCCCTCGGTAAATCACCATACCGAGCAAAAAATACCATTTTTCTTGAATTTTTTGAATTTAAACGCTCGATTTACTGTAAAGTACGTAGGATCTAATTAATGCCATGAGAGTTGGTTCTAGCGTGTTGGTAGCAACCTAGTTCCTGTTTTGAGAGGTCTCTAGTTCGAATATTCGTTCATTCACTTATTTGAATTCAAAATTCAACTACAAAATTTGCTCGAAATATTCTCGGTATTTCTCGGTATTTCGCGGTAACCGTGGTAACCACATTTATCAGTCCCCCTCGATAAAATTGCCTCATTCGGTAACCAAAACCTTGACCCATGCTACTGTCGGGCGAAGGCTCCACTGAATACTGCCTCATGGAGCATCTGCGGCCCAGGGGGAGCTTCTACGAGGGCGACGAGTGGCTGCTGCGGCTTACCAGTTTCCATGTCGAGCGTGGGGAGGACAGTGAGCCCGTGGCCATGGCTCATCAGCCGGCTTGCACTTATGATGTTCCTAGGTACAATAATGATTTTGATGCTCAAGTGTTCTGGATGTAGTTTGCATAGTCGCCCAACCTTGTTTGAATTATATTACTGCAGAATCAAGGTCTTGATTGAAATTCAGGATATGGAATCCCGATGTTGGTTTTTGTTTTTTGCATTTCTTCTCATTTTTCCTTGTGATTCTTGGACAATTGGAGCAATACGTTAATTCCCAAATATCACTATTTTAGTCAATATAATTTTTTTTTGACTTCTCGTAGATTTTCCATGTGGTTTTGTAGAAGAGAAAAGTAACAATTATGGCACAAAATTTGCTGGACAAAAAAGATCAAGAATAATCTATAGCCACTGGTGGAGTTAATGGTAGGAATAATGTTGTTGTGTTTTTCACTTGGAAGATGTCCATTCCAATGGACTCCAACAACTAATTTCACAAAATTAAAATTATGAAGTAAAATTACTATACAAATATAGAAGTTAGCAGGATGTTATATATTTGACTTAAGCTAACATTAATATTCAATCCAATTCATAGTTCTATGCCTAAGATATTTCCTAGACATCCCTTTGACCCCCCGCGTATTATATCATCTTAATTATAGTTGAAGCATGTCATCACACTCTGATTTTGTTTTTTAATGCATTAGATTTTTTTGGCGGGTGTTTTCAATGCATTAGAATTGTTGTCGTTTTTTGCAAAAACAGTACTGAAGGCCCCTATTGCGCTACTTTTAAAATTCTATGGATGTTGGATAATTTAGTAGTTATGTTGCGGTTTGGGATGTGCATGTTGTGTAAAATTTTGACAAGAGTCTTTTATACTCCCACTCAAAAAAATAGTGCCTTTTCATACTTACTTTGTATCAATTTTTTTAAGATGAGGCCATGAGGGAAACAAAGCTAACAAACATACAAGCTCGGGGTAGAAGGATAACAGGGTAGCACAAGATTTTTCAGAGCAATACAAGGCATGCAACAGATGGAGCCATTTTGGCATTCTTGCTGAGTGTCTCCCAAGCCCCCAGGATTTAGTCACTAGCAACTCACCTCCAGGACTGAAGACGGACTCACGAAGGCTTGCTTCTGGGCGGAGGGGGTGGATCTCCATCATCTGAGATCTTGAGGGCCTGTAGGATGCCACCAGAGAGGCATGGTGGACCCTTGTGTGTAGAAACAACCATATAGGCCGGGAGAGGGGATTTGCCTTCAGCCACTTCTAATAACCAGAGGTGTCTTCAATACCAATCACAAATGTGAGCAAAGATGATCTGCCTTCTTTTTAATTGCCACGGGCACATAATAGCTCAATTCTTGACAGTTTTTAGAATTCTCCACACCCCTGCTTAGGAAGAAACAATAAGACACATGACAAAGAGAAATACCTTGTTTTCCAAGATATAACAAAAATACTATTGTCAGAACGTACCAAAGTCCACATGTGGCACCATTGGTAGGGAGAGAATATGACATTGTAATGATCCAGATGATTTGATAAGGTTGTTAGAAAAAGTTATTAAGGCGACATGTTTTTACCTGATGATGAATTTTGAGACTCTCTCATTTATGTTAAATGTCATGCTTACAATTTTCCTGTGGAGGCTGGAGTTATTCAAATTTATGTATCTCTTAGCTTTCGAGGATGAGAGCATGAAACTGTGTTGATCATATCCATAAAGTTGAATATCTTGCTAAACTATTTATGAAGAAAGGCATTGACATTCCACACTTTATGCTTAAGTTATTCCCTTTTTCACTTGGAGGAGATGTTAGAACTTGGTTCAATAAATTCCCCCATATAAGTACTCCCTTTGTTTAATTTTACTCAGTATATAAGATTTGTTTGAAGTAAACTACACAAAGTTTGACCAAATTTATATTTAAAAATATTGAAATCTCCAATACAAAAGTTATATAGTATGAACATTAATTTCATGATGATCAAATGATAATGATTTCATATTGTGGATGTTGATATTTTTCTTAGAAAGTTGCGAGGACCTTGACTTCAGACAAAATATATATGCATACTAAAAAGAAATGAAGGGATTGTCCTTTTGCTTTCATGCTAAAAAATATATGCCACTACATGAATTTCATGTTGTCATTATAGACATCCATAACTTTTATCAATCCAAACATGAGGCTTTACCTCAAGCTTGGGGAGGTTTTGTACTATCCACATGAATAGTACTCAGCGTTGAGTGCTGACAATTGCTAGTATTCATATGTAAACAATCAATAGATTTTGCGCGATTCTACCCTCAAATACAAGAACCGAAAAGTCCAAGCATAAACATGTTGCGGCCATCCATTGCAACATGAACCATGCTTCGGCCATCCCAGGCGAGATCTCCGGTTAAAGATTGAGATGATTTCCTGGCTATGGGGAGGAATGGGCTAGAAGTCGGGAAGAGTTGTGGCAATAGTGATGTGTGTAGGCCCTCACCGGGCACGTGCCAAGGAGATGAGGTGAGAGATGTGTGCATTATTTTGAGCTGGTTGAAGGGGAGCTTTTCCTATTTTCATATACCTAAAATTTATATGAATCGTATCAAGTCAAATGAAATGGTGAAAGAAAAAGTCACACTAGTGTCAACCATGAATCGTGCATATTTGCTGAGAGGGTTGGGATCGATCAACCATTCATTACAGAGTGGGTCAATCCTCCGAAACCCTAGACATCGGCCGGCCGAGGGCGTATGATGTGGGCGTGGAGATCGTTCCCTGGTCTACTTCAGTCCCACGTCTCTCGCCTACTGCCTGAAAGCCACATGATCAATCGGATCTTCCGTCTCAAACTCCATTTGTGAGACGCACGACGAGGTCCACCGTCAGGATGCGTCTCAAACTCCATTTGTGAGACGCACGACAAGGTCTACCGCCAGGACGCCATGACAAAACAGCACCTATATGTGGTGCTCGAAGACCACAAGCATGGGTATGACATCCACAAGTTGGACCTGGGTCGCCAGACAATGGTCTAGATGGATGTGTGGAGTGCATCCTAAAAAAAATGAAACTCCATGGGCACTAGCACCCACGGTTTTCTTGATATAAAAGAAGCATCCCTCATGAGAATTCCAGAAATTCGTCCCCGACGTGGATCGAACTCTGGTCGTTAGGTTTACAATCATGCGCCCCCAACCACTGGGCTATGCCCACATCCTCGTGTGGAGTGCATCCTGAAGCCGCCAGTTCTCCGCGTGCCGCTTTCAACAGTCGGCGAACGCAATTTGCCTCCTATGGCAGTAGCATCGTCGCTCTATGTAGTCCCGCCATCAGCTCCTTCATCCCAAGCTATTTTCTACTCCCTTCATAAAGAAATATAAAAATGTTTACATCACTACTTTAGTGATGTAAATGCTCTTATATTTTTTTTTATGGAGGGAGTACTTGAGAACATTGTCGGCATTCTCATCAATGACACAAAGACGGCAACGATCACCGCCACGTCTCACAGCCACGATCGCCTCATTTCTGGCAACAAAGCTGCAATGGACGTCGAAAACAAGATGCACATGATCAACCCCAATACATGGTGGGGCGATAGTGGGAGCTTGCTCTACCTAACTGAAGATCTGGGCAGCACCAATGGCGACAAGGTCTGGGATTGGCATCCATTTGATCCCTTCATCATGCTGGTGTTCAGGCTACTTTGACAGACCTCTGGCGCTCCCACTCTTAGAGCATCTCCAACAGTCGCGCGATATAAGCGTCGCGCTGGAAAAAATCTGCTTTTTGCGCACGCGCAGCCGCTCCGGGTGCTCCAGTGGAGGCGCAAAAAATGCGCGTGCGGCATAAGTTGTTCAGCGCGCGGGACGAAACTGCATCGCACACCGCCTATTTTGTGCGCCCGCTCCCACGCGCTGCATGCTCGAGTCCTGCGCCACGACTTCCACCTACCCCCAATCTAGGCGCTGGCGTCGCCGCCCGCACCACCCCATTTGCTCCGGCGACCCGACGGCGCTTCCCGGCCTATCCCCGCGGCACCGCTGCTTCCTCCGTCTCCCTCTAGTCACCGCCGCCCCTCGCGCACGCCATTCCTCCGACGAACAGTGCCCGACTGCGCCCATTGCCGCTCGGCGCCCACAAGGTGTTTGACAAAATACTAGCAAGGTATGTATTGCTTTAACTTCACATTTTTTACATGAATTTGGTGTATGTTGTTTGTAGTTTTATAGATTAGTTTAAATTCAACATTGTAAATGAGTTCGTCATATGATTCTTCTCAAGAAGAATTTGATATTGAAGAGGAGGAGGATCTTGCAATGATCCTCGCCATGCACATCAATAAAAAACCGAAGCACGGTGGTTCGGTTATGGGTCTGCAGAAAATTTGGAGGGATAAGATCGATGCCGACAACAGATTGATGAGGCACTATTTTATGGATAATCCCGTGTACCCCGAGTCGTACTTCCGGCGCCGGTTTAGGATGAGCACTGTGTTGTTCAGGCGCATTGCGAAGAAACTTGCGAGTCATGATAGGTTTTTTCCAGCAAAGGAGGAATGCCGCCGAAG